TTGGAACCCCAACTTATCATTTGTATTCTATTCCTATTTGCAGTATTAGATTGCTTCTATCTTGTTCTTGCTTGTTTCTTCGATTTGCTTGTAAGAATAAGGTTGATCTACACCGGCCAGAGATGCATCGATCGCTAAGGGGCAACACAACAACATTTTGTGCGGTTGTAGTCGGATAATCAACGTTTCTTCCAAATCATAGTTATCATCAACTCACCAAAAGATCGGGCCAATAATAACCGTGAATGTCTCGAGTGGAACTCAGGGTTTATCATAGACAAAGAGAATGGTGATATCATGTGATGCAGAGCATCACCTGTGATCACCTTATGTAGGTTGCCAGTTCTATACAAGATATGCGACCATGTTGCAGAGTTGTCGTTCTGAATTTCACTTAGTCAGCACAAAGTGGCAACCAGTAAACGATCTCTTCTTAATATATAATGAAGTTTGAAGGCCCTGACCCGGCACGTATCTAGTCAGAATAAATTCTCGACCTCTGGGCACCTGGGACCAATACATGTCTTGTGATCGACTATAATAGTTGTCAGGTTCAGCTTTATTAGTCAAGACAAGATGTAGCCCACTAGGAAGCCTCCGACTAGTCTGTCTTACTCAATAAAGCCATTTGCTCTGATATCTGAATTTTATGAAATCAACTACTTAGGATAAATTATAGATACAAAGGCCCGACTGAACGCTCAGGAGTAATATGAATTGGAAGTATGAAAATAAATCATCGTTGATGGTTACTAAGTACCGATTTCAAACGTCAATTACTTGAATAAATAAAGGGAGAACAAACATTTTCTACACATATATTAGTTATAAATAATGTGGTTCCACTTGTCTTGGAAGATTACAATGGATGCACCAATTAAACATCGAAGTAAAGGAGAAATGAGCCAGCATGCAAAGAAACACACCTCCGGTGAATCATGTACGAGCACATGGATAGACGGGCCCCCAAATCAACTTAAACCGACTTAAATTGGGTCCAAACCACTATGCACTGCCGTAGGAGCCCACGTTTCAGTCCTTGGTGGTGGAGAGAGGTGTGGTCTAGGGGTCAGCTGAAACCTTTGTTCGGCCTAACCACCATGGTCACCTCTCATCTACACCCTCCATGTGGTAGCTCCTAGTTGCTTCCCAATGATGGATGTGAAAGGTATCGACCTTTCTAACCGTCATAGTTAGCTATAAATAGAGATCATTCCTTCACTCCCAAAGCACATACTCAAGGAGAAATTATCTCATTTCTATACTTGTATTCTCTGGAGTAGCAGTGGAGATAGGCTTAGAGTAGCCTTGGGTTCCATAGTCTTCTCGGAAATTCTCGGAAATTCATGTATGTCTTTAGTAATTTACTCTTCTTATAAGACTGAGAGTTTAATAAAGGCACTAGTACAGATCCTTCTATCTGTGACGGGCTCTAATATGCTTAGAAATAGCGGGCCGTCACAAGGAAGTCATCTCAATCGGGCCGAAAAGTGCCCGATTGAGATATGGTCGCACAGACATGTTAGATAGGTATAAAACTTAAGCCCGTCACAGATAACACCTATCTGTGACGGGCCACAACTTTAGGCCCGTTTGAGATAACATTCCATATCTCAAACGGGCCTCAAGTTGTGGCTCGTCACAGATGACCCTCATCTGTGATGTGCACCAACTTGAGGCCCGTTTGAGATAACAACTAGGCCCATCACAGATGACTCATCAGTGATGGGCTATTTACTTAATCTCTATCGGGCATTAACTAAAGCCCGTCACCGATGACTATTTTTCTATTTTTCATATGAAATGTTTATATTTGTAAGTTGACTATAGCAAAATAATTTTACGGGTAGTAAATGATTTCAAATGGAAAAAATGTCAACAACAAAGTTGTATAACTTATCAATATTTACAACTTTTAGTTTGGTAATTTTTCAATATAACATTTTTTTTGAACAGTTTGAATTTGAATTTAAAAATATGACAACTTCAAACAACATTTTCAAATACTGAATGATTTCAATTGAAAAAGTCATCAACAACAAAGTTGAATAACTCATCAAGATCTAAAACTTTTATTTTTTTATTTCTTCATCTGACGAAATATTAGTAATATTATTCACAAATTTTACATATATGTGTTATAGTTTATAAAACCAGATAAGAGATATGTCAATTTTGTGAACAATGTTACTATCACTTTGTCGTATGAAGAAATGACCAAAATAAAAGTTTTAGATCTTGATGAGTTATTCAATTTTGTTGTTGATGACTTTTTCAGTTGATATCATTTAGTATTTGAAAATGTTGTTTGAAGTTGTTATATTTTCAGATTCAAATTCAAACGGTTCAAAAAATGTTATATAGAAAAATGACCAAAATAAAATTTATAGATTTTGATGAGTTATACAACTTTGTTGTTGATGACTTTTTCAGTTGAAGTCGTTCACTGATCTAAAATTCTATTTGAACTTTTCAAACCTTGAATTTCAAATTTCAAATTGTTTAAATAGAGTCAGATGGAGAAATGACCAAAATAAAAATTTTGCACCTCGATGAGTTCTACAACTTTGGTTTTGGTGACTTTTCCATTTGAAATCATTTAATGACCCCAATTTGACATCCTGACCTAGGGCATAATAGGATTAATAGAATACTCATACCAACATGTTACAATTACTTTTCTGGAAGCCAATCTCTAAAGAACTTTGACGTTAAGTGTGGAGCAATTTCGGGATGGGTGACCGACCGGGAAGTTTGAAATTCCTGCACAGTGAGGGCTAGTCAAAAAATAAAATTTATTTATTTTTGGAATATACTGATCTGTGACGGGCATTAACTCTAGCATAAGTTAATGCCCGTCACAGATGACTTATCTGTGTCATCTGTGACGGGCTATAGTTAATGCCCGTCACAGATGACCCTTATCTGTGACGGGCGCTAGTTGTGGCCCGATTGAGATAGGTCATCTGTGACGGGCTATAGTTTGACTGGTCGTCTGGGTCAAAGCTATCGGTAACGGGCTTTACTTAGGGCCCGATTGAGATAGCTCTTCACATCAGTGACTTCTTGTCATAGGCTCTCCGGACCTTCCATTATATTTGAGAGATGAAGTGAATAATTCAAGTCATCAAACAAGCATAATGAAACATCCGACACCTCGAGAGAGGAATATTGGAGACATTGCTGGGCCCTTAGCCTGCCAGTCAACTTCAGCCTGAGATGTGCCCGTCAAACCACTCGAAGGCGGCGACCAGATGTGTTACACATTCAGGAGACTTGACAAAAATGGCTAAAGATCTACAACCTCTCAAATATTCCTAACTCATACTCATGTGAATCTAGTTCCCAGGATGTGCACTAGATTCACACTTTCATCTTAAGCATGATTACACATAGCAAACACAACTAAGATGAAAGAAACTTAAGACTTACAACAACTTAATAATTACATAGGCCGACCGGCCAAATAGACTTATTAGAGAACAGCGGAAGCTTGACTACCCAAACACAAGCACACCGACTAGGGGTATACCCCATTAAGTTCTCATCCTAGAAGAAGCAATCGGAACCCGCAACACTCAAAGACTAAGACTAAACCTGCAAACAAAAGGTTATATCCACAGCAAGAGTCAGTACATTAAACAAGTTAATGTACTGGCAAGCACAAGTCAATCCTACTATACTACATGTAAGGCATATATTCAAAGGAAGGCAATATGTAGTTCAATTTCAGCATAAAGCAAGTTTTGTTTTGCAATTCTTTTGTAAAGGAGTTGATGCTTCAATTAACCAAACAAATTTTAAGTTTCAATATTTAATTCATCATAATTCCATTATAATCAAATCTCCTGTTGTCATCCTTTGACAACAAGTCATAATATATCACCTCACACACACAACTCAACACATTTATCAATTTCAAACCAATATCACATGATCACAATTTTAAAACATAGTCTATACTCATGACACATCACCAAAGCGCTCATGACCGTGAGCACGGCTAATCGATTAGTTTAAAGAACTCTGCAGAGTTTGTACAGCTTTACCCACATGATATGAACTCTCTAGTTTGTTTTGAGTTTGCAAGACTCCATCACACTCTTCATGTTGAATGTGATCTAGAGGTCATAACGAAGCCTTTACACTACTTAGAATCTAGCCTTGCACCAGCACGATACGTGTTCCTCCATCCTAGGCATATTTGGAAATATGTCTAGAACCGTTAAGTGGCGGGCCCACGCCTTAAACTTAACGCCGTGGTGGTGGACACAACGGGAACCCACCCACGTGGCACAATACCGTTGTATTGGACAGACTTAGTCACCTAAACTACCACGTCGGGGCAAATAGGAAGTTCCTCTGAATCATCGACTAATTCCTCAGAATTATCGACTAACTCATACACACCGGCCTACCAGAATGCAAGGCTAGTCCTAAATAGATTAATCAGCTTAGGCCATCCCATACTAGCACATGTGGATGTACGAATAACTTTAAATGGGTGACACAAGTTCGGTCCTTATGGACTTGGGCAAACACTTCCCCTATCGGTATGCAACTAACACCATATGCACACCACTTGCCGCCCAAGTATAAAATCACATTTTACACATTTTAGTTCGCAAATACCCATCACATTCATTTTATTCCAGCAAGAGTTCATGTATCAAAATTCACATTTTAATTATAGATGGAATGAACATTTGCATATTTCTAAGCATGGCTAAGCAAGTAGTTGCACATAGAGCATATATAAACCCATTTGAGCACAAAGAGTATACTCTAACCATTTCTAGGGGTTCAAACAGCAAGAGGATCAATTATTCAAGGTAAGGAATGCAGCAAATAGGTCATAATTACCTTAACCCAATTTCAAATACCGATATAGTCTAAGTTCATATGCAACTTTGCAAATAAATATTTTCATTCCTCAAATCATGGGATTCAATGTGTTCAAAGGATGGGAGGAGAAAACTTGCCTTGATCAGAGAAATGTTAGCACCTAATCCACTCCTTCACCGATTATGCAATTATCTAGATAAAGGACACGATATGCAATTAAACACCGAAAGAGCTGAAAATCCAAAATGCTCTAAAATGCATGATTTATGCACAGTGGGTTGGTACTGATCTAAAATGAATTTAGGTGAAATAATTCCTATTTTATTTTATTCCATTTGGGAGTTATGAATTTTAGAAGTTTTATCGGTTTATAGTAGTATAGTCTTAGGTAGTGTTATGAAATACTTTTGTAAAGTGATTTTTACTATATTAGACTTCATAGGAGTGTGAAGTTGTGTTTTCTAAGACTAACACATTTGGTTTCACAATTTTTGGAGTTATAATGATTTTCTTATAGATTTTACAAGTTACAACATGTTTTAGGCATATAGTGTTTTATATGTTCATGACTTTTGAGTGATAGGTTCAGAACATGCTACTTCCTGTTTAAGTTGAATAAAAGGAATAATTTGGTTAACTAAAACATTTTTATCTCACATGTTTATGATCTTTACTACTATGGTTCATATTTTATAAAGTAGAGATGCTTTAATCTAAACTAGCAATATATTATATTAACCTAGAAATTGTTATATGAGCTAAGTTCTTCTAATTTTAGTGGATGGAAATGGAACTATGGCTTCACTGGTCAATCAAGTGTTTATTTAGGTTTAATTAGACCTAAAGTGTATATATATACTTATACATGTTTATGTATTACTTAAACAACACTATGTGTTTAAATTTTTATTTCACTAAGTTAAGGTTTTGATCAATGTTCTCTACAAAAGGTGACAAATTTTATTTTACTATGTTGAAGATAACTATTTGCTGGTTCTATAGAAACTTTGTTCATTTCATTTGGACTAAAAATAAATTTTCTACAAGTTTTACAAATTAATGGCTGCTCTATGTTAGTAAATCCTTATATGAATATTTAGAGACTTTTACTACACAGCAAGTATATAATCTTATTTCATAACTTGGAGATACATGTTTTAGTGATCCTACATAACTTAAGTTTATTCAAATTGAAGCTAAATTGGGTTCTACATGAATTTCTAAAGTTTAGCTTATCTAAAACTAGTCATTTTAAAGATAACAGTTTTAGAGGCTTTTGATGCAAAGTAAGTAATTACTTTTATTTCACTTAATCAGAGACTGTATGATGATGAATCTGTAGAATTTGATTTTGTTTCAAAATGAGTTGAAATGAATTTTCTATGTATTTTATAAGTTTGTACATGTTTTATGTATAACCTATCTTAGATAAATTTTAGAGACATTATTTGTACAGTGAGTGTCAAGTTTTATATTCCTGCAATAAAGTTCATAACTTCAAGAATCTATAGCAACTGGAATAACTTCAAAATGAGCTATATTTGATTTTATATAGATTTTACAACTTTGTGCATTTTTCTGCTAAACATATATTTGTTTGGGCATTTTCCTAATTTTTCTTCAGATTTTAAAGGATGGGTCCACATGGCTGTGAGGGACCAATATGCACAAAGGCCCTTGAGGTTTCTAGGAATCAACCCGCAGTCCTAGGCCCATATGTCAGTTACTAACATTTTGCACAAAAACCCCTGGTTTCTCGGGAAATAGATCCCGCAGTCCCCTAGTTTTAGGTTTGTATGCAAAACGATGCTTGAGTTTTAGTTTATTTACAGATTATTACTGGTCCTACTTGTAAGTGACTGTTCCAGTTGTTAATACATCCCTGGGAGTCTTTAAATTTCAAAAGCCATGCCCTTGCTCTGGACAGAGCAGAGCAGCAGCACAGCCGCGAGCTTCACAGCATCACCAGTGGCGAACAACGGCGATTCAGCTTAAGCTCCCAAAACAAAAAGTGTAGAGAACAACCGTGCGAACCTATTGGTGGCTTTCTGGCAAGATTTGGTGCTCTATAGCGGCTGTTAGGGTGTTAGAGGCGGTGGCTAAGCTCGGCTTGCACATGCATGTGGGTTTTGAGGCTCGATTTAATCGTGCATGCGTATGATAAGGACTCTAGGGACTACTAGGAGGCTCACCAAGAATCAAACGCGGCTCGGCGAAGTCTTGGCGACGGTGTACTGGTTCGGCGACGGCGCAACTGCTACGGTCGTCGTCGACGGTGTACTCCCGGGCTTCTACTGCATATAGAGGGTGCATGCTTCGGTTTAGATCAGCACAAGGTAGCTCTAGGCGAAAAAGATTGCGCCGAAGCTCACCAGAGAAGGAGAAAGAAAGGAATGGCGTCGGCGGCCAGAGCGCGACGGTGTTCCGAGTTGACGCGGTCGCGTTCCCAGAGATTGGCTGCACTAAAAGAGGCATTCTTGGTGGCGTTAGAGACGGCATTGAGAGGGAATTACAGAATGCTTATTGAACGGAAATGGAGCTCACCGGATTGCGACGGCGTCGAGGACTTCTCTCACCGGCGCCGGAGTTGGCACCCCCGTTCCCGGCGAATCCGAGGCGGGGTACCTCCGTTCTTCCGCGAAACGAGACAGGGGCGAGAGAGAGTGAGAGTTGGTCGGCCGGTCGGGTTAAGTACGGTCGCCGGCGGAGATGGGGAGGAGGAGCTCGCCCTCTTCCGCGCTCAACGCGTGCTCACACGCGTGGCGCGCGGGGTCTGAGTCGTGGGCCCGTGTGGAGAGGGATGTGAGGCTGACAATGGGGTCCCAATAGGCAAGAGAGAGGTGTAGAAGGAGGAAGTGTTGGACAGGGCTGAACCTATCCTAAGGCACTGACAAGTGGGGCCAACTCGATGGAAACTAGGCCAGGGAGAGAGATATGGGTAGAAGACTGGTAAACTTGATTTTTAGATTAATTTTCGGAATTATTTTCTCCTCTAACTTTGTAGCTTCATAACTTAATGTGTGGACCAAATTAATTAGTGTTGATTTTACTGGAGGTAAATGATTACACCTAGATTCCATTTTCTTTGGTTGCACTCAAAAATAATGGGTGGACTGCTCACAGAAATTAAACAAAGATGGGCTATTAGAAAGCTAGATTGAATTTTTAGGAGGCTTAAACAGAGGAGGAAAAATCTAGAAAAATTACATTTATTCATGATAACTAATCTAGTATTTGAATAAATTATTTCCCATGTTCACTTATGTGCAGTTAAATGTACTTTTGGATGAAATATGGTTTTAGCCGATTAAATTTAATTTGATTTCTTTTAGTTGTCTGCTTCGACCGATTAATTTGAGATTTCAACTTGAGTGTTAACATGTTACCAAAATTACAGAGGATAAGTTTGTGCTAATCACTGTCCACATAAATTTTTCCATGATTTTATCTTGCACAAAATATTTTAGAGAATTAGGATGACCTTTGTTTGTATATGTATTCCCACTTCATAATTGCATCTAATATTATTATAGGGATTACATTAAATTTCTTTTAGACTGAGAAGATGATATTTGAGTTTAATATTAAGTCCACATGTTATCACCCAAGATTAACTATAGGTTTGTTTAGTGAAATAATTCTTTTAGATTATGCTCATGGGACCTATTATGGAATACAAGACCAAAACTCCAAATGCACAAAGAACTCGAGCCTAGGCATGCATTATGTACATGTATGCTTGGTGACATTTCTAGTCTAATGTTGGGAATGAAAAGATTTTATTTTGTTCTCAAATTTTAATCATGCAATGGTTTAAGTTGATCATCACCTAAATTAAAACGGAAATTTTTGGCTCTCGAAATTTGGAGAAGTTCACCTCTAACTATTTTGACAAGAAATTTTAAGTCCTAAAATTTCGGGTATGTTACACTTCTAGCCTGTGACGGATGCCATGCCCGATTGAGATGGGGCTTACCGCCCGATTGAGATGAGGGTATCCGTTCTAGTGAGGAATTATCTTCTTTACTTATTAGTGTTCATAGTTTAAAAACTACTTTATTAGTTATGTGTTCTATGAATAGTTTATACTTCAATTATATGCTTCTCTTGATTAGGCTAGTTGATCTATACGAAAACATCGATCGAGTGATCTTAATGGGTTGCACTAATTCTAACTTGTCCATCTAAAGTTTGAACGTGCTGATTCGGCCTGTGTCTTGACAGAATAAATTCACAACCTCTCGGTGCCTAGGACCAATACATGTCGTGTGATCGACTGCATGAGAGAACTAACATTTCTTATATGTATATTACCTCAATTACCTCAATAAATAAAGGGAGAACTAACATTTCTTATATGTATATTAGTTATAAATAATTTAGTTCCACTTGTCTTGAAAAATTACTATGGATGCAGGAATTATACATCAAAGTAAAGCAAAAATGAGTTGGCATGTAAAGAAACACACCTTCGGCGATTCACATGCGAGCACACGAATTGATGGGCCCACAGGTCAGCTCAAACAAACTTAAAGTGCGGCCAAACCACTGTGCACAGCCTAAGGGGCCCACATGTCAGTCCCTTGGTGGGGCCAGAGGTGGGGCCTAGTGTTCGGCTGAACCCTATGTTCGGGAAAACCGCCATGGCCACCTCTCATCTCCACCCTCAGCGTGGCAGCTCATGGTAGCTTCCCAATGATGGTTGTGGGAATTACCGATCTCTGTAACCATTATAATCAGCTATAAATTAATACAGATCATTCTTCACTCTCAAAGCACACATTCAAGGAGCAATTCTCTCATTTCTATACTATTCTCTCTATTAGTAGTGCAGCTAGGCTTAGAGTAGTCTTCGGTTCCATAGTCTTCTCAGAAATTCGAGTATGTCTTTAGTTCTTTACTCTTCTGGTAAGACTGTGAGTTTTATAAAGGAATTATCTTCTTTACTTATTAGTGCTCATATATTGTTTATATACTACTTTATTAGTTATAAGTTCTATGAAAAGTTTATATTTCAATTATATGATTCACTTGATTAGGCTATTCGATCTAAGCGATGGCATCGGTCCAATGATCCTAGCGGGTTGCACTAGTTCTAACTTGTCCATCCAAAGGGTGGGAGTCCCCACGGAATTAGTGTTATTACTTTATTAATGTGAGCATGGTGCTTAGATTAATTAAATGTCATTTGATACGGTATACCCCACGGAAAGTGAGGTAGGCAGCAGGTTATAACAGTTCTGTCCGTCCATTGTGTTCCTCTACGTTTGGGTATGATGTAAGAGTCCATAAAATGTCATAACCACGCTAGCAGACCAGCAAGGAGTGGTCTCTTGTTAGTTCCTGGGTGGCTAGAACTATGTCCTACCTTGTAATTATGTATATGTTAAGTATAATCTAAACACTATAAATATAGAAGTACATATGAACCTTAGCTCTCTTTTGTCCTTCTCCACTACCTAGTGCATTATTATTAAAGATGAATCTCACGTGTGTTACACTACCCAAACTATCATTGTTATATATCCTTTACCCCTGTTTAGACTATGGTATATATGAACCCACTCTATACACTATCATCTTCTCCATGGAAAAACAAATATGATATCCTTGGAATACCCCGGGTGAAATGCTACAGCAGTATCTATGTGCTTGCGAATTTATCTATAACCGTATCAAATACCAACACCAACAAGCATGTCTAGGTGCGTCTATAGATAGTAAACTTGTAGATTCGAAACTTATGCCTGATAGGGTTATATTCCCCCCACCCTTTGCTATTTTATTGGGAAAAGCTTTTCCATCCCGTATTCTCATCCCATAGAGTTAAAGCGAAAAGGCTTCTAGCCCTCACCCGTGAAGTTGGGAATATCAATTCTCGATTATACGGCTTAGTAAATACCACTAGTACAGATCCTTCCATCTGTGATGGCCCCTAACAAGACTAGAATTTGCGGGCCGTCACAAGGAAGTAATCTCAATCGGGCCGAAGTTTCGCCCGATTGAGATATGGTCGCACAACCATGGTAGCTTGGCATAAAACTAGAGCCCGTCACGGATGACACATATCTGTGACGGGGTATAGTTGAAGCCCGATTGAGATGAGGGTTCCATATCTCAATCGGGCCCTAAAAGAAGCCCGTCACAGATGACAGTCATATGTGACGGGCACCAACTAGAGGCCGGATTGAGATTAGTTTAATGCCCGTCACAGATGACACTCTTCTTTGACGGGCTTTTATTAAGGCCCGATAGAGATTACTTGTATGCACGTCACGGTTGATTGTTTTAGGGTCATTACAAATATTTGTTGCACAGTATAAATACCCCCCACCACCTACTGTAACTATATCCCACTGTTCACTATTTTGGTGGGAGGCTGTAGGGGGCGATTTTTTGTCTTTTTTCCAAGGAAAACAGAAAATTCCCAAAAGTGATCAAAATGGAGCAATCAAGTGAGTAATATTAATCATTAATTGAGCAATTTCATCACTCTTACTTTAGCAATACTGATCTTATAAGATGTGCCTCTAATTTGTTTTTTTTTTATTTTGTAGCAATTGATCGAAGTTGGATGTATGCGAAAAATGTGAAACGTCATTCTACGGAGTACAGAAATGGCGTAATAAATTTTATGAACGCCGCGGAGGAGGATAGGAAAAGAAGAAACAGCGATTACATGTGTTGTCCATGTGCAGATTGCAAGAATGAGAATATGTTTGATAACGGAGAGGATGTACACAGTCATCTGATACAACGAGGATTCATGAAGGGCTATACATGTTGGGTGAAGCATGGAGAGCAAGAATCAGGAAGTGGAGCAGCAGCAGAAAGAAGTGGTGCGCATAATCAGGAGGATGAAGATGAGCATGACATGTTTAGACCTTCTCAATTGGGAGTGAAATGGTTGATGTGGATCACGATCTGCTGCAAGACATGTTATGTGACGTTGAGGACCCAGCCCGGAATGAGAGAGATTCCATGAAGTTCAACAGGTTGGTCAGTGATTCCGAGACGCCTGTGTATGCTGGATGCAAAGCAAAACACACTAAGTTGTTAGTTACCTTGGACCTAATGAAACTGAAGGCAAGTAGTGGATGGACAGACAAGAGTTTCACAGATCTTTTAGGAATTTTGAAGGCTATGCTTCCTACTGAGAACACATTGCCCGAGACAACATACAAAGCAAAGCAGGTTCTGTGTCCACTGGGGTTAGAGGTCCATAGAATTCAGGCTTGTCCAAACGACTACATATTGTACCACAAGCAATATGCGGAATTGGATGGTTGTCCTGTCTGCAAGGCTTCTCGATGCAAGCGAAAGAAAAGTACTGACGATGGAAAGAAGTCAAAGAGGGGTGGTCCGGCAAAAGTTGTGTGGTATCTACCTATCATTCATCGTTTCAAGAGAAT